GTATGCCATGGACAACACTGCATGCCATAATCCTGATATGCTATGCGTAGACGTAGTGAACACAGCTTAATCAGAGTGAAGCTTATATTGCCGGAAACTCAGCCATGGTAGCCATGCTAGCACCAGTAGTAACAGTAGTAGTGATGACCCCTGAGTCTGACACCTACACCCTGTACCGAGGCACTGACGAACCAGCTGATTGCAACCACGGTGGAGCCGTGCTCCTGCTGCCACCTGCGGATTCACATGAATGCCGCTTGCCCGGCTTTCAGCAAGACAAGGATTCCGACAAGCTGCGGCTGCAGAATGAGTGGGGCCTCCCAACCTGCAATTTTGGGTAGCTCAAGACTAGCTTCCAACATCGGGCGTGGTGAATTAGCTGCATAGCCAGGCAAGTGCTCCTAAAGGGCACCCGCAGCGACGGAAGTGTTTTCAAGACAGTGAGCAGGCCAGACTCCCAAAAAGTCGAAAACAACAAGCTGAACCCTGAATCTCTTAGCCCCAAAACTGGAAGCCTCCTCTCCGAGCGTTCCGCCCCCTGTAAGTGCAGAATCCTGAGCACAGGGTGATAGCAGAGCTCTTTGAGGAGGCAGAAAGCTGCTAAGCAAACCCTAGAGACATGTGGGTGGTTGTCAAAATTATTGTCCCTCTTTGGGCGCCCTAAATATTAGGTGCCGCATTCTGCTTAGGACCCGAAAAAAAAGTACCATACTTTGGACAACCACCCATGTACTCAGAAGTCGATGCACCATGCAAACGCAAGATGTCTGTTCTGTGCCTGCACTCCCAGGATCAGAACGGCTCCGAGGTGCTCAACTTGAACCACCACTGCTGTGAAGCTCAGATTGAACAGCCAGGGTTAAAGGTCTGAACAGTTTGCAACAACATCCGGATTCTATGATGGTGAACGGTTGGCGTGGTAACGGCCAGCTGAACTAGGGTTTCGTAAAGGTATAGGAACCTATGGAAAGAGCATCCGCATCTCCGATAGTCTAGTTGACCCCTTCCCCTCAAACGCATATCGAACCCCTGAGGCCCCCATATCACATTCATTCAAATTCTAGAAGTAACAAAACGAAGCATAGCGAATACATCCGTATACACCTCAGAAATCCGCAGAACAGCTGTCCATCCCCAGCTTTCTACTCTGACGAGCTCCGTGGGGGGGGGGGGGGGACTTCTGCTTACAAGACTTCTAACCGCCCAAAGACCACTAGTCACTAGTCACTAGTCGATGATCCCAGCCAAGGACTGCTCCCTGCTCTGTTGGGGCTGTCCGTGCGGCTGCCAGGTGGCTTGGTTGATCTTCAAACTCTACCTTTGAATGAGGGTTTTGGTTTAGGCTGTAGGCGCATCTATCGGAATTTATGTGCAGCCAACTGTTGGCATGTCATCGCCGGTTCGTCCATTAGTTCAAGTTCCCGCCTGTCTCTCCCATCCAACTAGGCATTATAAATATACTAGCTCTCACGTTGCACATCTTGTTCTGTTATGCTAGCTAAACTATGTGCATGCATACGGTATGTGCATACAAAGATACCCTCACAACGAGGCCTGGCACAGTACTACAGGGCTTAGTACCCAGTTTAGGGTTTGTTGATGAATGACGAAAGGTTCCAGGAACCTGGCGAGCGGGCGACCGCTGGAGCTGTAGTCCCGGTAGGTTTCACTTATCGAGGTCCGAAGTGTAGTAGAACTTTGTGCATCAGTAGCTGCTAGTCCTGGGTTTCTGGGTAAATCCGGTCCGGGAGAATGCACAGGCTTGAGGTTCAAGGGCCTTCATCAGGAGACGAACTTCCAGGTGTACGACCACGGCCAGTCGGATCTTGGTCCGCAATACTGAGATTCGCACGAATGCCAGCAGTATTTGGCAAGAGCTGTCGTGCTTTCATAAAGCTCCATTACTTGGCTATTGTTGGCTTGCAGGGCTTTCCTTGTGTGTGGCGAATGTTTTCAGGCTCTGGATATTTGCTGGAGCGCGTTTTGCAGACCTACAGCGTCGTCACAGGATACTGGGAAGGTGACACTTGGGATGCTCCACAATGTCTCGGGTCCTACAGGGTCGAAAGTAGAGGTCTTGTCGAAGATCGCATGTTCGAATGGTGATGTGAGCCAGAAAGCAAGGCCCTGTGTCGCCAGCAATTCTGCTCCTCATCCTCAACATGCGACATGAGAACCCCTAAACCCCAAGCCCCTGAACTGAACCCTAAACTCCAAACCCCAAAACCCCAAACCCCTAAACCCTCTTGCATCTTCTGCACCACCGGCTGCTTGCTGAGGTGGGAAACATCAAGCGACAGTTCAATGCCCAGCAGGCTGGGAGCTGGAAGGGGTCTGTGCTAGGCCCTGAAAGACTTTATAGATTATGTACCCTGTATATACACATACATACATACATACATACATACATACATACATGCATACATACACATACATACATACATACATACATACATACATACATACATGCATGCATACAATCATACATACATCCATCCATCCATCCATGCATGCATGCATACATACATACATACATACATGTATATATATATATATACGTATATACAGATGTATAATGTATATGTAACATGCATATGTCTATCTCTGTGTGTGGTCTGGAGCCCAAAGCTGGAGGAAGGGTTCGGCTCCTCGAGCTTGAGTATGAGTCAGTATGAGGGTTTAGGGTTTAAAAATTTGGGGTTTGAAGGTTTTAGGGTTTAGGGATTTGGGGTTTAGGGATTCGGGATTTAAAGATTTAGGATTTAAAGATTTAGGATTTAGGCTTAGGCTTTAGAACAGCGATTCGAGTTGCAGGACAACCAAATTTGAGTCGCCATATCATTATCACGGAGTGTACATATATACACGCACACACAGATAGACATATGCATATACATACACATCTGTATCTACACACATATGTATATATATATATATACAGATGTATATATGCAATATGTATCGTCCCCTTCCCGGACTCCACAGCTTGTCAGCTTTCATCTCGGACATGTGTATGTGTACATGCATTTACCAGTTGTACTTAGCGACATGTGCATGCATGATGTGTATGCGTATGTATATATATGTGTATATATATATATATACATATGTACCTCTCTCTCTCACGATTGCTACCGGTATTGCTGATACATTGTGTGTAGAATTTAGAACAATTCTTTTGTGGAACCATCTCGGGATTCACGGTCATCTAGGTCATCTCTCCCACTTGCTCGGCGACTAGTTTACCTTTCGGAGGCCAAGATTGCAAGATTGCTGGCAACCTTGGTCTAAAATGTAAACTAGTCGGCGAGACCAAGATTGCAAGATTGCTTGACAATATTGCTCAAACAACTGTTCTAAATTCCCGGCACCTTGTCCCGTTACCATTAAAACCACTACTACCATCAAAACCATTACTACCACTAGCAGTACTCGCCGTCGTCGAAGCATAAGTATCATTAGTAGCTGCAGTGGTTGTAGTTGCACTCAGAGCCAGAGCAGATGCAGTAATACAGAACGGTGATATTGTCGGGGACAATACTAGCCGCAATATCATAACAAGAATCATGTTGCTGCGCGACAAGCAAAGTGGTACCGGAATGGCGGCTAGAAGTAACAGTAATCGAAGATGAAGTCATCATCACACCCGGACCTCAGAGCTTCAATGCCTTCTCCTTCACCAGAAACGCCGAAGCTTCGACCCTGAACTCAGCCCTGACGCCGTAATCCCCACTCCCGGCACTCCTCACAGTGCCATACCGTCAAGGCGCTTGGGATGATCACGGGGGTAAATGCCGACTCCGACCAGTTCCATGTTGACTTCAAGGAGGTCCACGTTTGGAGTTGAGGGTCCAGGGATTTTGTCAGGAAAGTTGCGGTTTAGGGCCTTTAAGGTTAGAAAAGGGTGCCTGGGTGACGGCATATAGACCTGCATCGAATCAACCCTGGTTCTTTAAAGGGTCTTAATAGTCTTAATGCCAAGATATCCCAGTATAATCCTCACGACCCGAGAGCCTGTTGTAAGTCAGGGTTCTAAGTAGAGGGTTTCAACAACATAAATAAGCGTAGAAGTACTTTCGCTAGCAACGGCAAAAACATGCGTTGTGAAGTTCTCAATGGTTATTGACGATGCAGGGCTTACGTACCAGTTTTATAGACTAGCTGTCAGGCGTTCGGATTGGGGCCTGTCCGACATTTAGAGTTTGGCGCAGGTTTAGAAGACATTGGGCTTGAGGATACCGTACATGCTTTTAGGGTTTCGTGGTGGTGGTGTGGAGCTTAAGGTCTAGAGTTTGGGATGCAGCGGTCTAGGATTTCAAGGTGCTTCTGTTTCGAGGCTCTCTTGCTTGGCCAGAGCTTGTGTTGAGGATTCAGGGTTCTGGAGCTCGGAGGTTTAAGGCGATGCGCATGAGGCTTAAAGGTGAGAGCCTGAAGATGTAGGCCAGCAGTTGCAGGCTTTAGGCTTTCGGCTCTGCATCTAGCATTTCCGCCGCAGCGGCTACTGTTGTAGATGTTTATGTTGCAGTATGCCCTGAACCCTATAACCTAAACCGAGACCCGCGTCTAAACTCTGTTCGGCTACGTTGGTCTCCAGGTTCAAAGCCCCGAGTGGAAGGCCGCGCTGATTGCCATGGCTCTTTTCCTTGTCCGGCCCTTGGTCAATCGCTTTGTGGCTTTGGTGGGCCGTAGCGTTAAGGGTTGAGGGTTTAGGGGTGTAGGGTTCGAGGCTTGAAACTTCGAGTGTTTCGGATGTTGGCCTCAGTGAGCGGTGCAGGCGCTTCGGTACTTGAGACCGGAAAAAACCGCTGTGTTTGTAGGAAGCGGATTCGGGGCTTTTAACTTAGGGTGCAACTTCGACTCCCGTGCATCTGACCTTGGGGCTTGTCCTTATCACCCTTTGTGCCAGGGCATCTCCTAGACATCCTGACTTGAGGACTCCGAGCCTACTTGGCTCTGGAAGCTTAGCGATCTCTGAGTCTTCCAGATGCTTCGTTGCGCGGAGCATTTTGTCAGTTGGACCAGCCTCGATGTACTGGGGCAAAGGTTTGGCATGTTGCTTCGGGTAGCAGCTCAAGGGTGCGAACATGGTTGCTGGTGTCTAGAGCAGTTGCGACTGGGAGTACGCAGATTAGGTCCGTTCAGGCGTTTGCATTTCCGGTCCCAGGTAGTCAGACCCTAGAGAGCCTTAATTAAGTGAGCTTCTAGCCCCGAGTGATCCTGCCGCGGGAAACTGCTCGAGATTTCCGAAAGTCCTCGACCCCTAAGCTACACATACAAAGCCGTAAAGATATCACCCGCATTCCCTTCACAACTCTAACCCCCCATGCCAAGGATTACTGCTACTTCGTGAAGGGCGGCAAGGAAGCGCGACGAGAAAGTGCCCTCGGGAGGCATGGGTCAGGGTTGATCTTGGGTTGAGAGGGAGTATGATGGGCTTGCGGCTTAGAGGTTTGGGGTTGAGGGTGACTCCTACTATTGCGATTGGTGGTGCTGGGGTTCAGATGTAGCAGCTTCGGGGTTCTTCGTTCCAGGTTTAGGGCTGCAAGTAGCTAAGGTTTTAATTAAGTAAGGACTTCAAGATTGGCAGCTCACTGCGGTGTGGTAGATGTCGCAAGAGTAAAGCGATACCCAAAAGAAAGTTTGACCAGGTCCCTGTAATGGGACAGGACCCCCCCCCCCCCCCCCCCGATCAAACAATCAGTTTTGACAACTGCTCAAACAAACCCCGGGGGCCCCTTTTACGGCCAACCCACTCCATTGCCAGGGCGGTACAAGTTGAGCGCCGTTGGGAGAACGATCGCTGAGGGCCGTACTGCGAGGATGACTTAGAGTTACTGTTTGTCGGGTTTGGGGTTCAAGGTTTCGAGTTGAATGTCGGGCTTATAGGATCTCGAACTTAGGCTTAAGGTTTCAGTGCTAAGGTGATTTATGGAAGTATTGCTACTACTGTTCGTTAAGACAGTCAGTTTGCTTAACACTGCTAGTGCTTAGTGGGACTATTGCCTTTGTGTGTGTTCGCAAAAACTTGCTATCACACGTACGGGTGCATACTATTCCTCTCCATGGTGGCAAGTCACATTATGGGCATGTTCAGTTCCAGTGGTTGAGGCAGGTTTGTTTTGCTATGATGGTGATGAGGATGAGCAAAAGCTGGACTAGAAATACAATTACTCCAGGGGCGTATTGTCACAGCTGAAGAGTGTTGCTGTCTCTTTCATGTATATATTATATAGTGTTCGAACAATGTAGCTTCAGTACATTCGCACAATGCAATCATCTCAGTGTTCTTGTTTGGGGCTTGGCTCTGCTGGAAATCTTGGGGACTTAACATCCTTCTGACCCTCAGCAGCACCGAAGTTCGCACCTTGGGTGCGAGGGAGGGACAGGCACTTGGCCGAACCCTCCCGAAACCACAAGCATCCCTTACATTGGCTGGCCAAAGGCTGCCATTAGTGGATGACCCAGGCCAGTAGGTGGCAGCCGGAAAGGAAGCGTGGCATCTGGTATGCCGTAAAGTGCCCGAGGCAATTGCTCATTCACTGCCCCGGTTTGTTCCTGGCTCAAGGACTTGATACAAGACTTGAGCCAAATGCTACAGCTTCTCCATGAGTCAGGGTCCCGAGCGTCTGGGTGCAATCAGTCACATGGTGCTGAAGCCAGCTTAGGGCTAAGATTCTAGAAATCTGCATCCAGCATCGGAATGATGGATGATACAGTCCATGCACCAGTCGTGCGGCTTGCCCGAAAGGCCAGGCATTGATAACTGGATTCACCGGCATGTACAACATGAACACCTCGACGATTCTTGGAGTAGCGGGCTCCGAGCCATCAGAGCCTAGGTTGAGGAGCAGAATTCCTTGCCTGAGATATCATAGAAACTATGGAAGTCCCTCACCCTTCAGAAAACACGAAAGACTCACGTTCCTCCCTACCTGGCGCCCATGCAATGCTTCGCCAAAGGCTGCACGGCAGATGCGAGCCTTCGGAAGTGCAGCGCGTGCGGCGCCATGTGGCTGGCATGTCCGTATCACCTGGTCTCTTGCCCAGAGCATAGAGACCAACCCCTTCACACGGAGGCAGGGGCTTTGTTTCCGAACCCGTAACTTACCAAAAGGAAGCAGTTATTCCGCGCAGTCCAAATCCCGAGCCCTTAAAATCCATTTTCTGCACTTTAATCAGCCATCACAGGGACCCCAATAAAGACGAGTAGGATCCTTACTATCCTAACAACATCAGGCACCCCCGAGAACGAAAAAATCGTTCGTTTCTAGGAGCCGCTTTGTTATCCCACAGGCCTTCGACGCATCGGTTGACGCATCGCACCCCTGGCTCCGCATGCTCCGGCGGGGAAGGGAGCTGCTCCGAAAACGCGGCCTTGCGCCTCGGCTTGAGCCTTTTGAGTCGTGGGGGATTCGAGGGCTTTTGGGGCCTTGGGTTCAACTCGCGGTTAAGGATTTGGGACCGTTTGAGGTTTAGGCCTGGTTGCAGATTAAAGCTTCGAGGATGCAACATTCGGGACTCCAGCAATCGTAGCCCCGTCAAGGCTCAGGGTTTGGGCGTAGGTACAAGGCTGCGCGTTTGGACGAGCTTTGCCTTGTGAGCTATGGGTTTCAATCCAAGGACCTCGACGATGGTTACCTCCGCTTTGGAAAGGCAGGGCCATGCAAGGGACCTGAGTGAAGTGCTTCAGAAAGAAAGGAGCCAAACTGACCCACCCGGATAAGCATCTTTGACTCAGTACACACGCCCCAGCAAGAGGTCCCCCTGATTTGTAAGAACACCATCTCCCAAGTCGCACAGGCAGGATTTCAAAGCACTCGTTCCCCGGTACCTTTACGATGTCTAGGGTTCACTAAGCCCATAACCGTGAAGATGCAGGATTCATCCTGAGACTTGCCGGGCGGTGATGACGGAGGACTGAAGGGTTAAAACTTGAAGGTGTGTTGGACTTCGGCTTCGGATTTCCTCGTCGTCGAAAATCTGCATTTGCAGTTGAGGGCTTCAGGGGAGAACGAGGCCTCGGCTCCTGCTTGTTAATCATCATCATCATCATCATCATCACTGTCTGGTTACAGCTTACTTCAGATACCCAAAACTCCCTTCCGGCTTTTCGGCCACCAGACGTTATTAATACCCTGAGCTTCTTACACTTCAACTTCCACACATCTTAAGGTTTGAGTGTGTTCTGGCTCTGTAGTGCCTCGGGGGTTTTGTTCCTGTTTAGGGACATGCGGTTTCGGAGCTCAAAGCTAAAGAGTTTTCAGGGATTTCGGTTTAGGTTTGTTTATTGCTTTGAGGCTTTAATTTAAGGCTTTAGATGTGTTAGATGGTTTAGAGTTTAGGGCTTCTTTTGAGGCTTCAAGTGCTTGGGGTTTAGGCTTTTGCCGGTTTGAGGCCTTCGGATTTGAGGGCTGCCCGAGGTCCCTTTGGGTTTTTAGGGGTCTGGGGTTAGGATCTGCGAGTTTCAGGGCTCCGGGGATTGAGGTCTTTAGGGCCTGAGGGCTTTGTTTACGGTGTTGGGGTTGAGTGTAGTAGTTGGTCTGAAGACCAAATCATGGGCATTAGAGCGAAAACTCTTCATGCCCGCCAGCCTTTCTTCAAAGTGAAAGCCGCGAGTCTGAACCACAATCGCAATTTGCGACGCGAGAAGAGAAGCAAGTCAAGACTTTCTGCACTGAAGGTGTAGGCCTGCACCCTAGCGCCCTGAACTCCTAACCCCCAAACCCAGACCCCGAAACACTGAAGCCCGTGAAAGGCCCCAGACCCTAGAACACCAAATCGCAGGGGCTTCGTCTTCAAGTGGTCTCCTCATCCTGCGACCGCATGCCGCATCCTTTGGGTCGCTATCTCACCTATCCGACCTATCCGACCTATCTCTGCCAGGACTCCTAGGGCTGGAGGAAGGTTCCTTTAATGCCAGGTTAGGCATAACCGTAGCTTTTGGGCAAACGCGAAGCCGTCACGACCCAGAGCCTTTATGGTTTTTCAGTGAGGTGTGTAGGGCTGATGCCACATGCCGCTCGTTTGCTGATTCCCCTCGTCGTCGCTGTGCAGCAGGGCGGCGGTTGGTGGCTCCAAGGGAACAGCTCGAACCAAACCAGTGCCCAGGAGACTCGTGACGACTCCCGCTGGGCTCAGATGCGCGGATGGATCGAGACCCACACCACATGGAGTGGTGAGTGGGCCTCTTGGCTCGCGTGGCCGGATTTGCCGGTCCCCCCGGAGCGCGGATGGTCCTGGGATAGCGGGCTGTGTATGGTCCTAGACACCGTCGTCAGCTTCATTGGATGGATGCTCTTCGGAAATTCATGGCCGGGGGTGAGGACAGGTTGCCAGCGCATCTTCAGACTTCTGGCTTTGCTGGTCTTGTGTATGGGGGCCCACTACCTGTGGGCTCTGTGCTGGCCGGTGATTTCTTTAATCTCGGTTGTCGTGATGGGCCTCATCTGGGTCGTCAGGGCTGTCGTCCGCAAGCTTGGAACACTAGTCTACTGGGCCCAACGGGCGGCAGGTGGTGTTCCGGAGGCGTCTGACACTGAGTTCTTGGGCCCAGGAACCGGAAAAATACCCGAGACAGCTGATCTCCGGGCCTTCAAGAAGGTGGGCTCTTCGGACAAGTGGGTCCTCGTGCGCCGAGGAGGGCATGTCGCCGTCTTCAAGGCAGGCAGTGAGTCGCAGACGATCAGAACGCCGGGCCTTTACGTTCCGGTGGAGCCAGACACGATGCGCGGGGACCGTGAGATCGTCGAGGCATGCCAGGGCTACGACAAGGTCCACCTGTGCCGCAACTTGGTGTGCCACGAGGAGGGCCAGCACTTCAAGGAGTATGGCGTGGCCCGCGACTTTGACGGCGAGCGTTTCCACCTGAAGAACGCGGAGCTTGGTGCGGCTAAGGCGGGCAGGACACTGTGGACCTGGTTGTGGGCAGCCCCGGCGAAGGCCTCGAAACCGTTAAAGGAGTTTGGCTCCGAGTCCGAGACAGAGGTGCCCAAAGCATGTGGGGCCCACCGCGTCGGGTGGGCAGACCGAGACGGAGATTGCAAGCTGGCAGGCCAACCATGTCGGGTCCCAGGCACGGCGATGTGTGAGCTGCTGCACGAGGACCGGTTCGATGAGCTGGGGCGTGTGGAGCTTTGCCCTCAGCATGCCTTGGACTATGAGAGGCGGCGACGCCCTTGCAAATGCTTCCGTCCCGATTGTAACCATGTGGGCATCTTGAGTGAGGCGGGCGACGGTGTTAGGCGGTGTCGTCTTCATGCACAAGGGTCGGGTCGCCGATCAAACTCGCGCCGTCGATCTCCGGCCCCGGCTTCTCTTCCTGACCAAGACGATCCTGAAGAACCTGAGCTTCCTCCCAGCGGGCAAGTAGGCAACGGGGGTCTTCGTGATCTTAAGCGTCTGTTGGCAGAGGTGAAGGCCGGTGTCACGAGCGAGCCAGGCAAGAGAGTGCGTGAGGCCTCGCCGGGTCGGACCCCTCGGTCCAGCATCCAAAAGAACCTGGCGAAACTCGGGTTGTTGGATTCGCCGGCACAGGACCACCCCGTGCCGCTGCTCGAGGAGTTCTTCAACCAGTACGCGGAGGGCCGGGACGCAGGCTTGACCGAGGAGGAGGTGCGAACGAACATGGCAGCTGAGCGCGGCCAGTCACTTAAGGAGGTGACCAAGGAGCTCATCCGCCTCGCCATCCTCGAGCAGGAGAAGGGACAGCGGGGCCTCACCAAGTTTGTTAAGGCATGGCAGCGCTCCGCAACCACCCGCGGCTCTTCCCCTGCGAGTGTGACGAGGAACAGTTTCGGCACCATCGTGGGAGTTGGTGGAGACTTCGCCCGAGAAGCAAGCTGCTCGACCCGAGAAGCCCCCAACTCCGATCCGTATCGGCAACCCTGGCATCTTCGGTGTTGATGAGCGGAAGGCCGGGGCCACCGACACGGGCGCCTTCGATGAAATTGCTCGAGCCATCCAGTCGCAGACCGTGGAGATTGCGTCGTTGGTGAAGAGCCACACCGAGAACACAGCCGTCCCACCCGGCACGGTCAAGGGCCTGAACCGCACGTCCGAGGAGCTGGTTTTCTTGTTGAGGGCTTGCAACCAGTACCAGGTGACGGTGGGTGCGGGTGAGCAGGGCCAGGCTTTAGCGAACGCGCTCCTTTCGGCTCAGGTGGGTGCCTCTACAAAGCTCCGACGTGCGGGCTTCAAGCAGAAGGTCACGACAAGGCTGGCGGTGGGGCTGGCGGGACCTTACTGGGGGACCCAGGAAAAGCACGCCTTGAACGCCACGGACTTCGTTGCCCACACCGATGCGGAGCTGGACGCGTTCGTGCAGGAGATCAGATCAAGTAAGGCGGGCGTCGAGCAGCGGCCACAGCCCCCCACGAAGCTGGAGGACTGGGAGGGGCGCGTCAGACGTCAGAACGACGTGTGGGCCCTCGTGTACGGGAGCGAGTGGAAGCCGGTGCGGACCCACGCCCTGGAGCGTCTTTTGGAGTGGCACCAAGCCGAGCCGCACAAGTGGCCGCTGACCGTGCTCATGGATGTTTGGGAGGAGCTTCACTGGCGTTTCTTCGAGGAGCTGAAGGAGTCGTTGAGGCTGTTGAAGAAGGAGGCGGGCAGGGAGACCATGTCGTTGTCCGATATCAAGTTCTTCGCGCTGATGCCCAATGCAGCGGGAACGGCATGGCTCGAGCTCCCCCGCACGTTCGACCTCAAGTTCCCCGACGGCTGGTTCATGACGGAGGTGCTGCCGCGCATCGAGAAGGAAGCAGGAGCGCATGCTATGGCGCCTGACCTGGGAGGGTACTCGGAGCGCGAAGCCCTCAGCACATGCAGGCGGTGATCAGAAGCCCGAGGTTGCCTCAAAGCCGACGGTCAAGAACCTGTGGGGCCCCAAGCTGACCACGGAGGAGGTGAATAAGGCGAAGGAGCGGGCCCCGTTGGACAGAGAAGGGCTCCTGTTGTGCTGGGGGGCCTTGACCCACATGGGGTGCAGCAACCTAGCGTGCGGCCGTTCTCACGCCGACCTCCAGGGCAAGTTCGAGGCACTCGACCCGTGTGTGCAGATGCAGTTGCTCCGGCGTGGTGGGCTCCGGAGGATGAAGCCAGAAACGAAGGAGTCCGCGGCGGAGAAGATCAAGGGCATCAGGGCCGCCGTCGCCAAGGATAAGGCCGCGAAGATCACCGACCGTAAGTCGGGCCACGCCGATGATGAACCACAAGGCGAAACGCGGGCGGGCGGCGAGAAGGTTGTGCAGTTTGAGGAGATCCCGGAGGAGTTTGGCGCCGTCGACTACACCGCCGCGGAGGAGGACTTGCGTGAAGCCTTGAAGGGCCCCGACGGTGCGTGGCTTCAAGAGAGCGGAGGATCACAGCATGCCACGGAGGTCGCGAACGGCGCATCTGCGCCGCAGGAGGCGAAGGACCTGGTGACACAGGCCGAGAACCTCGCGAATGGGCCTGTTCTCGGTAAGCTCCACAACGCTTCCGATGACCTCTTTGCATGGGCGGCCACACGCGTTGCAGCCGCCCCTCACGCCACCTTGGAGGACGTCCTCGGCGAGATGGCCACTTATGGCATGGGTGAGATGGCGGCCGAAGCCACTGACATCCTTGAGGCCCAGTGCGGTGCCCGCGCAGGCTCCTCAGGGGGCATCCAGGTGTCGGAGGTTGTTTGGGAATCCGGACGACCGGGCAAGGCCACAGCAACGATCGAAGGGGTTGTCTGGACCGTTTGGGATTACAAGGAGGAGGTCCGGATGTCGGAGGAACTTGCGGGCATGCTTCAGCAGCCCGAGGAGGCCATGGAGAAGCGGCAGTGCGTTACCAAGGCGATCGCAGCGGGCATCTTGTGGAGACAGTTGGCCAGGCAACCAATGCCCGGGGAGGTCGAGGCGAAGGCTCTGGAGTTACGCCTGGAGCAGACAAGGCTGGCGCTCGAGGCACAGGCCGTGATGGGTGAGCCGGCTCACAAGGTTGCCCCCATTGAGGCCGAGATCCGCATCTACACCCACGACACCGCTCGCGCCAACCACGATAAGGACTTCAGATCGTTGGCGGTGTTCCCCTTGCTGGACTTGGAGGATTGCAAGCTGGTGGTGGTGCGGGCTGACTATAAAGGGGATGTCGTCGTTGAAACAGTGACGGGCCCTCTGTGGCGCGATGGTGGTTGGACGCTGTGGACGCTAATCTGGAGGGGCCACATGGTGTTTTTGGAGCCACCCCCGAGCTTGCAGGCCGAAGTTTTCCTGGACCGCTGGCAGCCGTACGACACTCCGGCGCTGGGCTTCTTGTTTTTCTGGCACACTCGGCACGATCAGGAGCGCACTTCCCCGGGCGCAGTCCAGTGCCGTCTGTGTAAAGGGCGCAAGGCAGGGGACACAGTGGTGCATGTTCGCAGGGAGAGCAACCTTGCGGCAGCAGCCATCGTCGGCTGCATCCGGGCTGGCTCAAGGCCCAACTTTGACAAAGTCAACGTCAGGGGCCCCAGTTTGTGCTTCCAGGAGGTGTTCGCCGGCGCCGGTGTCATGACCAATGGCTGGGCCGCTGCGGGAGTCCGTGTGCTCGAGCCGGTGGAGGTTTGGGAAGATCCTTTTCAACGTGTTGGCCACCGCCCAGATCACGATTTGTCTAGGGGTGAAGTCCAGAAGCGCATGCTGTACCTCGCCAGCGGTGGCGAGGCCAACATATGGTGGATCGCGCCTCCCTGTACCAGCTTCTGCGACTGGGGCGCCCAGAACGGCGGCACACGGACTTTTCAGTGCCCTTGGGGGGGTACCCAAGACCGGCCCCACAAGGATGTGGAGCTGCAGGGCAACATGTTGAGCAAAGTGGCAGCAGAGCTTTTTCTTTGCGCCCTCCGGAACGGGGCTTTTCCCATCGTGGAGTCGTCGGGGGCCTCAGGTCGCTATCCCAAGATGTGGGACCTCCCGTGGTGGCGAGACATTTTGGCGAGGCCAGATGTTCAGTTTGTGGAGTTTCCGATGTGCGCCTTTGGCCTGGGCCCGCCGGATGGTGACGGCTACTATCACCACCGTACTCGGGTGGTCTTCCCTCGGTGCGAAGCCTTGGCCTCAGCTTTGTCGCGGTGCTGTCCAGGAGTCGGCGCCTCTCATCGGCATGTTCCTTTGGCTGGTCGTCCGGGCGCTTCGCGCTCCCGGTGTGCCGAGGCTGGAGTGTACCCGCAAGAGTTTGTTCGGACCGTTGTCTCTACTTTGCAGCAGACTTTGGTGGCTGGGGGGGGACATGACGGTGAGCCACAGTGGCTGGAGGAGGAGACCAGAGCGGGCGGCGAGATGTTCGGCGCAAGGGGGGAAAAGCTCGGCTGCCGCCATGGATGGTTGGACGAGCTCGACGACATCGAGGCCTCTGAAGCCTCCACCCTGCTGTCCGCAACCGACTGCCCAACGCGTGGATGGGTCGCGGACTACGAGGAAACCAGGGCTGGTGGGGTTGAGTTGTACAACGCACCATCGGAGGAGGCAAAGTTTGCGGCCAAGCAGTACATCGAGCTCGCGGGGAAGACTGGACTGGGGTGCCCGGGGGCGTGGAAGCGTGTGTGCGAGAAGGGCGAGTGTCTCGTTCGCAAAGCGGGATCAGTGAGGTTGGCTGCCGAAAGCTTGTGGGCAGCGCGCGAGGAAGGGGGCCTCAACAATTTGCGGGGTGTCGACGAGGCCAGCCTGGACACCGTGTTGCACCCCGACCTCCTTGGCTACCTTCGCGATGTTCGCAAGAGAGGCCTTGCAGCCAGGTTCGTCGGCAAACGGCAGAGGTGTCAGGCCAAGGTCCACCCAAATGGTCGCAGGAACCTGGCCCAGGTTTACCGTCAGATCTGGAAGGATGTTGGCAAGCTCCGGGTGCTGGTGGTTCCGTCGCACATGGAGGGCCTAGGCCCTGTGGTATCTAGCCCCTTCGACGCTGTGGACAAGATGCTTCCAGATCGTTCGATTGCGCCAGACAAACGCATCGTGCACGACCAGCGGGTGATCAACGAGGGCACCCACAAGGACTGGCATCCTCCGGCGGTGCAACCCCGACACGAACAGGTGGCGCGTTTGGTTCTGTTCGCCAAGTCTCAGCTACCGGGTGTTGAAGTTCTCATGAGCAAGAAGGACATTGCGGGCGCTTTTCGGCTGCTGTGGGTTGACCCCAAGGATGTCGAGTTGTTCGCGGGCGACCTGCCGTGGGTGCCGGAGGAAATGGAGGAGGGGGAAGACGCAGCCGGCGAGGGCATGACCATCGTCTACCTGGTCAGCTCCTTCGGTTTCTCAGGTTCTCCGGGAGAATGGACAGTGTGGGGCAAGGCCACAGAGGAGTTTCTACGGCGCCATCGCCCGTCGTTGCCACGACGGGACCTGTCTTGGTCGTTCGAGAGTCGTATCTTGGTCGACGACAACGTGCTGGTCGAGCCTTTGGTTGGTTTAAGACCGTGGGTTGCAAGCGAGGTCTACGAGCTCGGGGTGAAGACGCTGTTGGGCGAGGCGGCGGTGAACCGCGAAAAGGATTTGGTCGAGGGCCCCTTCCGCACCTTCCAGACCGTTTGGGGCCTGGATATGGACACGGCCACCGAGGAGATCCATCTTCCGGAACGTCGGATCCTCAAGGGGGCCCACTTGCTCAACGACGGGGCCTTTGAGTACGGGTGCAAGGACTTGACGGCCCGGGCGGTGCAACGCTTCCGGGGCACTGGACAGTCATCGTACGGGGCCTCAAGAATGAGCTCAAGGCCGCGGACCGGTTCCTATGTGGAGGCGTCGACGGTGGCGCCAAAGTGTGCCCAAAGATGTGGGTGCCCGGCGACGAGGAGGAGTGCGAGCAGGCATGGCGCGACCTTTGGGAGTTGTTCGAGGAGTCGCAGTGGTTGTGTGCAAGGCCCGAGACGTGGTCTACGAAGTTCGGGGCGAGCATGAGGGAGCTGCTTCCGATCCGGGAGCGTCTGGCCTTGCCGGGCGAGTGGGAGGCCGGGACCGTCTTCGTTTCATCGGATGCAACCAAGGTGATGATCGCAGCCATCGACTGGACCACGGGAACGGTGATGCGAATGAAAGCAAAGACTGCGGCTGAGTGGGTGCAGCGGTGCGGCGACGGCGATGAGGTGGCCATCCACGTGGCAGAGATGCTCTCGTTCCTCGCCTTTGCGTGCAAGGTCGGGGAGTCGTGGGAGGGCAAGATCGTCCTCTATGGCGGGGACAACAAGATCGTGAAGGAGTGGATCACAAGCCGCAAGGCGGGAACCCGCGTTGGCCGCATTCTGGTGAGAGTTGTCAACCTTCTGGAAATGCGTTTTCGCTTTGCATTGGTGGCTACTTGGTGGCGCACGTTCCACAACGTCCACGCGGACCTCCTGACCAGGTGCTCCGACGACGAGTTCCAGGCCGTTGTGAACGAGAAGGGGTGGACTGTCGTTGACGTGACCGACGCCCTTCGTCAGGCCCTCGTGGACTCAGAGCGCTTTGGCCCGTGCCTGCTTGCTTGGGGCGAGGAGGACAGGCGTGTGCTGATGCAACTCAAAGAGCGGAGGCTACGTCGGGCGGTGCCCAACACCATCAGCCCTACGTGGAGTGAGTTCCGTGCAGTCGAGCTTTGTGGGGCGGGCCGGGTCGTCAAGGACTTCGTCAACGCAGTGGAGGCGGTCGGGGGTTCCTGCCGTTCGGCTTTTTGGTCAGAAGCGGTGCTACCGGACGAGGTTGTTTTTGCGTCCCTGCCTCCCGACGTGCACGCAAAGACAGTGGTGGCAGCCTGCACGGCCGCCGTCAATGGGCAGGCCCGATTCGTTGTGATGGAGGGGCCGCGCCAAGTCGCTTGGGAGCAAGCGGCTAAGGTCTTCGAGAGGGCTATGTGGGACCACGAGACCCAGGAGTTCCTCACTACGGAGTTCGGGGAAATTGCTGTGAGGCGGAGAAAGTGTTTGGTGGCGGCTCCGCATGGCTCGGTACAAGGCTGGCTGCTTCCTCGCTAACACATCAAGAGGGGCCCTCGCCCCCCCGATGAGCTCCGCTCTGGATTCGGTGCGGGTCGTCGAGGAGAAGCAGTGGTTTCGTCCGGACAAGATCGTCGTCGACACGGGCATCCCGAGAGAGCCCCTCCTTCCACTGCTGAAAGGGCACTACTGGACAGGGGGAGCGAGACATGTTTTGATGAGTACGAGTGGCCCGCTGCGCTGGCCCCTGTGCGAGAACCAGGAGATCCAGAAGTGCGTCGTGTGGGACCCTCGAGGCCCACCTGGTGCAGTTCGTATCCTCACCGGGAAAGAGGTGTGGCGGTGTCAGGGCCGCCAGGAGGACTTGTGGGATCATCTTCAGCGTGACGGGCACCCCGAACAATCCCTTCTGAAGGAGGGCAGCAAAGCAACAGGTGGCCAGACTGCGGCCGCCCTGGTGCTCATGGCAGGCTACTCCGTTGGCGCAGAGTCACGTGCCGGTGGAGTCCGCGACCTCTTTGATGACGCGAACCTCGCCAAGGTGTTGGAGTGGCTAAAGCGATGGAAGAGAGGCCTGTTCCCCCGCGCAACTCCGGGTGATCATGACCGTCGTGCTGGGGGCCACGGACACCCAGAGGATGAAGACCCGTCACGAGGCTGCAGCGACGGCGGGCCACACAGCGTTGGTCACGACACCGTGTGGCGTTGGGGCGATGCACTATGGGTGCCCGATTCGAGCAGCGAGGATGAGAATGAAGGGGAGAACGACCGGAAAGCCGGGGCGCCTCGCAAAGGCGTGCGCCGCGGCAAGGCCGAAGCAGTTCAAGCCGAAGCCCAAGTCCAGCTGGACCAGGGCCCTGTGCGCCCCTTCACCGGGGAGGTTGGTACCTACGTCGATGAGTGGGTGGAGGACAACCTATGTGGCTACCTCGCCGACAGCACCACGAAGCAGTACGCGGGCATCTACTACAAGTGGAGAGCGTGGGGCGCAAGGCAAGGGTGGCCCACTGAGTTCCTCGACAAGTCGGTGCCGGTCGAGGCGAACGAGAACAAGCTGCTTGGGTTTTTGGGGTATCTGGGATGGTTGGGGTGCTCCGTGGCAACACTGAGACAGGCCGTCTTTGCGATAAAGGATGGGCACAAGAGAGGAGGCCAAGGGGACCCCACCGAGAAGATGCATCGCTTGTGGATGCTGCTGGGCGCTTTGGAGAAGAGGTCCCCCAAAAAGCCAAGGCGGTTGGGCGTCACACCGGGCATGCTCCAGTGGGTCGCGGACGTAATGGGCCCGCACTTGGCAACCACGGCTGAGGAACGCTTCGACTCGGCGATGATGATCGCGGCCCTCAGCACTGCATGGTTCTTCATGTTGCGGGCTAAGGAGTACTGTGACTCCAACGGGGTCGACCTCGCGATGATCATGAGAGGGGTCGACTTCAAGATCGAGGCGGACTCCGGGGGCGACTACTACGTCACCCTCCAGTTCAGGAAGACGAAGACGGACCAGGAGGCCTTCGGCACGTGCAAGACGATGTATGCATCGGGGGTCAAGAACCTGTGCGTGGTGAACGCCCTGCGGACCTTCAAGGAGATCGCCCCTCAGAGGTTCGGACAAGGTGCAGAGGCCCTGAAGCCTCTCTTCAGATGGGCGAATGGTCAGATGCTGAAGCGTACCCAGGTGCAGTACCTTTTACAACAGGCAGCTGCCGGAGTGGGCCTTCCTCCTGAGAGGTTCATGTCGCACTCGCTCCGCATCGGAGGAGCCTCGGCACTTTTCCAGGCCACTGGAGAGATCGAGGTGGTGAAAAGAACGGGGAGATGGTCGTCGTCAGCAGTGCAGCGCTACCTGCATGACGGCGAGACCGCCTTGAAACAGGCGGCGAGCAAGATGGCATCCGTGGAACAGCGAGTTCACTACACATGAGCCGTCTGAAGTTTTGAGTTTTGTTGGGGCCGAAGGGCGCTGTGCCATAGT